GAGAATAGAAAAACAGTTGGAAGAGTTAACAAGACCAAAAGCTGGTTCTTTGAAAAGATCAACAAAATCGATAAACCACTGGCCAAACTGACAAAAGAAAAACAGGAGAGGAAGCAGATAACCCGTATAAGCAATGAGATGGGTGATATCACGACAGACCCAACTGAAATTGAAAGAATCACAGCAGAATACTATGAAAAATTGTACTCTAACAAATTGGAAAACCTAGAGGAAATGGACAAATTTCTAGAAACTCACTACCTACCTAAACTAACACAAGCAGAGGCAGAACAACTAAATAAACTCATAACAAAAGAAGAGATTGAAAAGGTAATTGAAAAACTCCCAACAAAAAAAAAAAACCTGGCCTGGAAGTCTTCGCTGGAAAATTCTACCGAACTTTCAAGGAAGAGTTAACACTACTACTAAAGGTATTTCAGAGCGTAGAAAAGGATGGAATACTCCCAAACTCAGTCTATGGAGCCAGCATAACCCTGATACCAAAACCAGGTAAAGGCACCACAAAAAAAGAAAATTACAGACCAATACCCTCATGGACATTGACGCAAAAATCCTCAACAAAATACTAGCCAATAGAATTCAGCAACATATCAAAAAAAGAATTCACTGTGATCAAGTGGGATTTACACCAGGTGTCCTGGTCATCTAGCGCTGCTCCAACAGAAATATCCAAAAGCAGATGGCTTTACAAAGAGAAGTTTATTCTCTCACAGTCTAGTAGGCTACAAGTCCAAATTCAGGGCATCAGCTCCCGGAGAAGGCTCTGTCTCTCTCTGTCAGCTCTGGAGAAAGGTCCCTGAGATGCATTAGTCTTTCCTTGGTCTGGGAGCAACTCAGCACAGGAACCTCTAAAAGGAAGCGCTCTGCTCCTGGCACTGCTTTCTTGGTAGTGTGAGGTTCCCTTGGGTCTCTGCTCACTTCTCTCTTTCATATCTCAAAAGAGATTGGATTAAGACACTATCTAATCTTGTCAACCTCATCAGTATAACCTCATCACAGTGATAGAATTTGTAACACATAAGGAGATCATATATAATCCCATCATAGTGATAGAGTTTACAACACATAAGGAAATCACATCAGATTACACAATCATACAACACTGGGAATCATGACCTAGCTGAATTGCTACACACATTTTTTGGGGACACAATTCAATCCATGACACCAGGTATGCAGGGGTGGTTCAACATTAGAAAAACAATCAATGTAATCCATCACATTAATAAAACAAACGCCGAGAACCACATGATCTCATTAACTGATGCAGAAAAGGCATTTGACAAAGTCCAACACTCGTTCATGATAAAAACTCTTAACAAAATTGGAATACAAGGGAAATTCCTCAGCATAATAAAGGGCATTTATACAAAGCCAACAGCCAACATCATCCTGAATGGAGAGACTTTGAAAGCATTCCCCTTGCGAACAGGAACCAGGCAAGGATGCCCATTATCACCACTCTTATTCAACATTGTGCTGGAGGTCCTAGCCAGAGCAATTAGGTGAGAAAAAAGAAATAAATAGCATCCAAATTTGCAGAGAAGAGGTAAAAGTATCTCTGTTTGCAGATGATATGATCTTATACACAGAAAACCCCAAAGAATCTGCAAGAAAACTACCGGAACTAGTAGAAGATCTCTGCAAAGTATCAGGATACAAGAGAAACATACAAAAATCAGTTGGATTCCTTTACACCAACAAAGAGAACTTCCAAGAGGAAATCACCAAATCAAAACCATTTACAATAGCCCCCAAGAAGATGAAATACTTAGGAATAAATCTACCCAGAGACGTAAAAGACCTACACAATGAAAACTACAAGACACTACTGCAAGAAACCAAAAGAGACCTGCATAAGTGGAAAAACATGCCTTGCTCATGGATAGGTAAACTGAATATTGTGAAAATGTCAATTCTACCCAAAGCCACCTGCAGATACAATGCAATCCCGATCCAAATTCCAACAGCATTTTTAAATGAGATGGAGAAACAAATCACCAACTTCATATGGAGACGGAAGAGGCCCCAGATAAGTAAAGCATTACTCAAGAAGAAGAGCAAAGTGGGAGGCCTCACACTATCTGATTTTAGAACCTATTATACCACCACAGTAGTCAAAACAGCCTGGTACTGGTACAACAACAGATACATAGACCAAAGGAACAGAACTGAGAATCCAGACATAAATTCATCCCCCTATGAGCAGCTGATACTTGACAAAGGTCCAAAGTCCATTAATTGGGGAAAACACAGTCTTTTTAACAAATGGTGCTGGCATAACTGGATATCCATCTGCAAAAAACTGAAACAAGACCCATACCTCACACCATGCACAAAAACTAACTCAAAATGGAT